TTTACAACACAATCTGCGCCCTCATTTACCCATTCATACAGCACTCTACAAGATCTCTACAAAGCTAATAGAACAAATCATTCTAAAGAAACTACTCAGAGCTTTATCACATTCATACACCGATGGAACACATCGGAGGCAACAAGGGGTTCAGCGTCTTGCCCAGGGACACGTCGGCATGTGACTGCTGGTGGATTTGAACCCCCAACTCTTGCATTAGAGGACGACTGCTCTAACCACCCAGCCACAGCCGTCCCCAAAGGGTCAGCATTTATCTTCCCAGCGTCTGTCACATTGGTTATGTGAGGGTGCATTCACACCAGCCCTGTTTAGTCCGCTTTAATCAAACTCTAGCTCGTTTTCCTAGGAAGTCCAGTTCGTTTGGAGAGGTGTGAACGCGCCATCGAACTCTGTCATGGAACAAAAAGGAGAACTCTGGCCCGGGCTAAAACCTAGGTCTCGGTCCAGTAGAAGAAAACTCCAGCGCGGTTCAAGTACAGTGTGGATGCAATCAGACCGGTCCCCGCTTCACAAGCAAGAAGTGGAGTACAGCGCAGGGCAAACAAACACACATTTCTCTTACCTCATATTGAGCCGTCAGCTGCCTTGTGTGAAAAACAATATTCTCCATGGTCTTCTTCCTCATCTTCCGCTCATGCAGTCCATTTTTGAAAAATTACAAAATATAACTCTTAAAACTGCTAAAACTTGATGCCACTCCATTTTTGTTTTTATTTCCAGAAGAAGTGTCTTCAAAGGTTTTTGTGTCGTTTCTTTCCGTAGTTCTTGGTGCAGCGCCACCACAGGCGAGTGGGGAAACAGGTTGGTTCGACTGCACAGTGCAGTGTGAATGCAAACGCACCAGCTCAAATGTAAACAAAATGTTATGAATATTGGTCCCCAACCAAACCGAGTCTACCGGACTATCAGGTGTGAAAACAACCTGAAACTAAATCACAAGCCTATAGTTCTTCCGGTCTTCAACCGCCTGAAGGACTCGGGGGCAGAGCTCATTCCACCAGGGGGATTTCTACTTCCACAGCTCTGCACAGAGGGGTGTTTGTACAGGACATCTTTTCTGCGGCTTCATGGTCATCACCGACCCCCTTCATCCGTTTTTATTTACGAAATGTCTCCAGCTCATCCCTGACACTTCAGTTTTCAGAGTTATGTCAGAGTGATTTTTCAGTCACACAACAAAAAAAAAAAAAAAAAAAAAAAAAAAAAAAAACCCAGCCCTGCACTGTCATTATTACGGGCGTTTTTCTACGTTTACTCGTTCAAGCAGGAAAACTTCCTGGTTTCCTCATGGGAAGTTTTGTCCTTCTTATTCCTCTCGTAAAAATAACTGCCAAGTCTTCATGCGACGTAGTTCACTGTGGCGACCCCTAACGCAGGGAGAGCCAAAAGAAGAAGAAAAAAAGTCCTCTAATTGTCTGATATGAATAAACACTCCTTCAGTTCAGATCAGGCACAGAGGCTGCACGCCTGTCATCCAGCACGCACCAGGTACATGGATCAGTGGTGCATAATTACGCTTGAATAAAGAATGAGGTTTTAGGTGGATATAAGTGTGTTTTTATGGTTCTCGGACAGACAAAGTGAGGCATGGACCAAATCCCGATCCGCCCTTTAAACCCAATAAGCGACAGATTTTAAAGGGCTACGCTTACACTCATAGAATCTGAGGTTACAATACGTAACCAACAATCTTAGTGCTCTGTTTGGGTCGTAAAAATGCAAGATCCATTAAGTAACTGGAGGCCAAGTCATTTAAAACTTTAAAAGTCAGTCTTAATCTTAATCAATATTAAAAGGAACAGGTAACCAGTGTAAATCAGCTAAAACAGGACTGATGTGGTCATGCCTTCTAGTTCCTGTTAAAAGACGTGCAGCAGCATTCTGGACTAACTGCTGGCAACAGAGATTCAACTGTTTCTTCCCCCAACAGCTTACTCCAAAGTGGAACAAACCAGTTCTGCTTGTGATAAGATGGTCTCTTTGGTACGCCCCCTCCTCCATTGCCGGCCTTCTTCCTTGTTGACAATCTTGTCAAACTGGTTGAAAACAACAAAGTCCATGCTCAATAATCCAGGTATACAATCCAAGATTTTTCAGTCAGGTCATCTGGACAGTTTCTTTTTTTTGTGCAAAAAAGGTTTTGCCTTCGGTCCGAAAGCACCCCGCCATGGCAAGTTAACTAGGGGAAATACTGCTCTCTAAACATCTTCAAAATATCTGTTAAGTTCATGGCAAAAACCAATGCAGATATGTTCTGTTTTTAGTATTCTACACCACCATGCAATCTAGCTGTTTTTTTTTTTGCTACTTTTCCTTTTAATTACCAATTTATTTTCATCCAGCCATCCATTATCTTTTACCAGCTTCTTCCATTTTGAGTCACGGGGGTCGCTGGTGCCCATGTCCAGCAATCACTGTGCGAGGGGCGGGGTAAACCCTGGACGGGTCGCAAGTCCATCACAGGGACACATAGAGACAAACGAGACAAACAACCATTCACTCTCTCACCTAGGGACAATTTAGAGTTACCAATCAGCCTAACATGCATGTTTTTGGTCTGTGGGAGGAAACCGGAGCACTCGGAGAAAACCCACGCATGCACGAAGAGAACATGCAAACTCCACCCAGAAAGGCCCCTGGACCGGGATTTGAACCTGCTCGCTGAGAGGCAGCAGCTCTACCATTTGCACCACCGTGCTGCCTCCAATATATTTTCTTTTTTTTAAATAAATAAATAAATTTGTACGGATCCTTTATGATTGTCTATTGTTGTTGTTGTCCACTGTTGTCATCACTTGTTAAAATTCAGATCTCTCTTGTAAATGAACCCCCGAGGCTCAATGGGACTAACCTGTAAATAAAGATTGAATGAATGAAAAAAATGTCATGACCTTTTACTAATAACCCATCCATCCATCCAGCCATTATCTTTATACCCGCTTCTTCCTTTCTGGGTTGTGGGGGGTCATTGGTGCCCATATCCAGCAGTCACTATGCGAGAGGCGGGGGACACCCTGGACAGGTCTCCCCAGTCCATCACAGAGACAAACGAGACAAACAACCATTCACTCTCTCACCTAGGGACAATTCAGAGTTACCAATCAGCCTAACATGCATGTTTTTGGTCTGTGGGAGGAAACCGGAGTACCTGGAGAAAACCCACGCATGCACGGAGAGAACATGCAAACTCCACCCAGAAAGGACCCCCACAGGGATTCGATCCAATGACCTTTTCGCCAAGAGGCAACACCCCCACCAACTGAGCCACCGTGCCTCCCAGATAAAAAAAAAAAAAAAAAAAACAGTTTCTTTTTCTCTGCATTAACATCTGTAAAAAGTTACAGATTCTGATTCAGATGAAAATAAAAATGACCAAAACGTGGGATTCTACTAACAGTAACTCAGAGTCAGAGTTTCTTTATTGTCATTCTCACCTCATGTGGTACATGTGGTGGAGCGAAATTATGTACACAAGGTCCCAGTTACATCCAACAATAAAATGTATAAGAAAAACAGTAATAACATCTAAGATATGAACTAAGAAAAACATCAACTAAATATACACTAAGCACTCATAACATAAAACATTGAACATCAGCACAAACATGAACATGAGTCTGTGAGCAGATGTGCACGCATGAACACATCAACATTGAAACAGATCAGCAGCAACATGAAACAGATCAGCAGCAACATGAAACAGATCAGCAGCAACATGATGCAATTTTTTTCACAGTGATTATTCTGGTTAGAGATTCATGAGTCTAACAGCCTCAGGGTAGAAGCTGTTCCTCAGTCTAGTGGTTCTACACTTAATGCTCCTTAACCTCCTTCCTGAGGGGAGTGGGGCAAAAAGTGTGTGTGCTGGGTGAGTTGGGTCCTTCATGATGCAGGTGGCCCTCTTCCTGCATCTGGAGGTGTAGATGTCTGTGATGGTGGGGAGGCTGACTCCAACATCTTCTGTGCAGCCTTCACCACTCTCTGCAAAGCTTTTCTTTCTGCAGCTGTGCAGCCTCCATGCCACACGTTGATGCTGGAGCACAGGATGCTCTCCACTGCACACCTGGAGAAGGAGGTGAGGACTGAGCTTCCAGACCAGCTCGTCTCAGCCGTCTGAGGAAGTAGAGTCTCTGATGAGCTTTCTTGATCAGGCTGGTGGTGTTGTTGCTCCAGCTGAGGTTGTCATTCATGTGTACACCCAAGTACTTGTAGCTGGAGACCACTTCCACCGCAGATCCTCTTATGTTCAGGGGGGTGTAGATGTTTTTGTTCCTTCTGAAGTCCACAATCATCTCCTTTGTCTTCTTCACATTGATGTGAAGGTTATTCTCTCTGCACCAGCTCTCCAGGTGTTCCACCTCCTGCCTGTAGCTGGACTCATCATTGTTTGTGATGCATCCCACCACCTCTGTATCATCTGCAAACTTTACAATGTGACAGCCTGGATGGGTAGCTGCACAATCATACGTGAGCAGAGTGAACAGGAGGGGGCTCAACAAGAACTCAAGGAAAAGGTTTTTATGTTTTGCTGAATGGGGTCGTAAAACCACACCCTCAAACTCCTCTGTCTCCAGTTGATGACAAACAACAGATTTTGGACACCTACTTTATTTTGGACACCTACTTTATTTTGGACACCTACTTTAAATCCTGTCAGAAAGACGAAAGAAACAAAACTCAAGAAACAACTTAACTCCATTCACCCCCACGACGAACTCACTATATACTTGAGACTGCTTCTACTACAGCTTTACTGCTTTTTTTTATAGATTATATTAAAATGGCTTGATTTAATCTTAAGAGATTAACCGAACTAAGTTAGTTAGCACATTAAATAATCGTTTCATGTTGATGTATCAAACCTCCATCGATGTGACCGTCCTCGGAACAAGCAGCAGGTACTGTCTGCAGTGCGTTCTCTCTTTGAGCAGCTGCCGAAGCTAAAGTTAGCATGTCCAAGAATAATAATCAAACGCTACCTGTAAAACGTGTATCGAGTTGGGTCGACACCATAATCATCTCTGAACTGCTCCTCAGCTTCTACATCAAACGCTTTATCTTCTTTAACCGCAGCAGACTCACTTGAAACGTCTTCAACACTTGACATGGCTAACTTTCTTAGCTTGATCAGTTCAACTCCACGATGATTGCGTCACATCCGGCGTGGTTCAATGCTGCCTTCAGGGACTGCGGGAAATATGAGTTCACCGCCACCGGAAGGCGTCTGTTTTTTTCTCGTGTTTGTGCGTGACCAAAATATCTCAAGCGCCACAGCACAGACTTTAGGACAACTTTCACAAACATTGAATGTCCAGTACACCAACAACTCATTCATGTTTGGAGTCAATTCGTTTGGACCCTTTAACTATCCCACCAAGAAAACTATGAAAACATTATTTTGTTGCATTTGTTACTTGGGTGACTGTTTTTTGTAATAAACACATTACTTTTTAAAATACTGACCTTTACCAAATTGTTGAGATGTCACTTAATGTTCACAAACATTAGAAAAAGTAGCATAAACATGCTCATTCACAAATAAAGAAAAATAATATTCAGGGCATTGAATAAATTTTATTTCATGTAGTATGCCAAAAACAAAGTTTCTTTTAATTTCAACAAAGGAAAGTATCAAACAATTAAATCTTGCCTTTATAAATGTTCAGATTGTCTGCAGCTGTAACAAAGTACAACTAAAAGTCGACTTCTGATTGAGTGCTCTTGTGCAAAACATTCTCTTTTGTAATATAAACTAAAAGATGTCATGCCAAACAGAGGAAACTGTTACATTTTCTGATTTGACTGGAATAATGATAAACTATGATCGAGTCCTTATTGTTGGGGATTTTAACATACATGTAGGCTGCCCAGAGAAACCACTGGTGAAGGACTTTTTCAGCCTCACTGACTCTTTTAACCTGGTTCAGTGGGTGGCTGGTCCCACACATGAACATGGACACACGTTGGACCTGGTTCTCTCTCACGGCTTGTCTGTGAACGACCTGGAACTATATGATAATGTGATTTCTGACCATAGGCCTGTTTTATTTGATATTGGTTTGTCCTGTGCTCCAGTTAAATCCTGCGCTCCTGCCCAGCGACGTAGAGTTTTTAACCCTTCCACTGCTGGTCAGTTCTCTGCTGCCTTTGAACAGCTCTGTGCTCCCTCTGACTCTGCTGCTGACACCGAACGGCTGAGCTCCTGGTTTGACTCCTCCTGTCAAACCATTTTGGACTGTGTAGCTCCATCTAAACTGGTGTGGCCTAAAGCCAGATCTGAACCCTGGATTAATGAAAAAACTATTGCAGCCAGACAGGAGTGCCGCAGAGCTGAACGGAGGTGGAAAAAGGATAAACTGGAGGTTTCATTTTATATTTTAAAGTACTGTCAACATCAGTACCAGAACACTGTTAAAGAGACCAAAAAACAACACTTGTCAGATATTATTGTGTCCAATCATAATAATCCACGTGTCCTTTTTAAAACTATTGACTCTGTCCTGAAGGCCCCACAACCTGTCTGTCTGGAAGCCTCTACTGAACTTTGTAATGACTTCCTGCAGTTTTTTATAAATA